CACCATCCTATTTTATGCAGCCCAACTTTCCTAGAGAATAAACTGCTCCAGTAAAAAGTTGAATTCAGTGTCCAATAAGTGATCGGCCCCACGAGCCACTTATCGTGTCGAGCCTTTTGGGAGTGTTTTGTGCTTGAGCTTTTTCTCCATTTGTTTGCCAGCTGCAGCACTTTTCCTACTCGATCTTTGAGTAGTTCTGCATCAACAATTTCACAAGCTTTGTTGTTCCATGTTTTCCTTTGACCAGACAGTTGAAATATGTTTATAAGTCAAGTCGCAACCACAAGGTTCTTGGTTTGAATCCTGGTTTTGCATTTTCCCCCTGTGTCTGCATGACATTTCTCCGGGTGCTCCGGCTTCCTCCCACAGTCCAGAGACATGCAGGTTTGGCTTAAGTTAAGTGGATACTTCACATTGACCAGTAGGTGTGAATGTGCAGAGTGAATGGTTGTTTGTCTTTATATGTTTGCCCAGTGAAATGCTGGCGACCTTTTCAGTGTGAACCCCTCCTCTCGCCCCAATGTCTGCTGGGATTTGCTCGAGCTCCCCCCCGTGACATTTGTAATAAGCTGTATAGATGATGGATTGATAATTGAAAAATATTCCGATTCATGGGGGTAACTCATTCAAGGTTTGACACAGGGATACCAGTGGTAATGGGATTGACTGATTCATCTTTTGAGAAAATCATGACTAAAATGTCAATTCCACAGTGATATTTTAAATATATGACAGGAAAAAATTGAAAAACACTTATAAAGAGGATGGTTTTATTCTCAAATCCGTTGACTGAGCATCAGACCCCAATTTATCATGGTTCATTCACTGCAATTAATCTTTAACAGGTGGGATGCAACCTCCCTCGTCCTCTCTCTCTACTGGAGGAAACCAATGCTTTCAAGGACTAATAGAAAAACTGTTAGGAGTGTGTGTTACCATACTGAGCCAAAGAAATGCAGAGTGCAAAGTTGGTTGTGAGTTTTTTGCTCTCCACACTGTGCATGAACAGGGCTGGAATATGAGCAAGCTACGAGTCTCTCGGGGAGAATGCCGAGAGATGCTGAGGGATGAAGGCGAAAGGATTCCTCAGACAGACGATTGGACATTCAGAATACCCAAACCTTAATTCTTGTGTGCAACAGTCATTTATGGCTTCAGGATTGCTCAATAATGCATCAAAACCCACAGGCCTCCGAGGGAAGCACTCAGTAATCAAAAAGTAAGTTAAGGTTTTCATAATAGGGCCCTATAAATAACTGGAGACAGAAATGAGGGCATGTAAAATTGATGAGGGTTGATTCAAACCTCAGGAGGTGGAGGGAACTTGATGTTGGAGAGGGAGTGAGATGCTGAGTGGCCTGGTGATATGGGCATGAGTAGAAAAGGGCGTGAATGGTTTGCGTCACTGTTATAACTATACAACTGTACAGATGTACGAAAATTGTTCCAGAGGCTTTGTCTGTTAAATAGTACTACTCTGACCTTTTTATGTTGTAATTACTGATTCTTTCTACTCCTGTGTGTCACATCTGTTTATTAGAAAAGACTTAAAATGTAAAGGTTTCTTGTGAATTTGAAGTTCACATCTTCTCAATACGAGAATCTAAGGTTCATACATTCCTAAAAACCAAAGCCTAATTAAACATCTTATGGAAAATCACTCAGTTAAAAAAATTAACACTAAAGAAATGCTTTTACTATACTTATATATAGGGTCTGTTTCAGTAGATGCTTATGGTGACCTAAATGTTGATTTAATATGACACCCTGAAATGACAGCTGTAGACTGCTCAATCTGATGTATATTACATTTAATAAGCTGCTCCATCTATATACAAAAAATTCTGGTTCCACAATAACTATATTTCGAAGCTCAATCAATGATTTGCCCTGGGAGAAAGTTTAAGTTTAAAATAAGGCACCTGAAATTGACGCCATCTGCTAGACGGATGATGCATCACACATGTTGGAACTAAAGAAAACTTAGGGGTTGTGCAGTGGCCATGTTACAGAATGAAGCTGTTCCTCCTCTCTAACTCTGGCACCAATACAAACAGTGTTAATCAAACAGACGACAAAGCGACAGCAGACTGGACCCGTTAACCCGTTTCTCTCAGAACAAATTTACAGTTAATAAGACCTGCCGTTGGTGACGTTTGTCGTTTCAATCGGTCAAAGTCACTGCCAGCACCAGCTTAAGCTGGGAGGCTGCCACCTGAAGGGTTCGTACACTTTGATAACAATCATACAGAACAGATTCTGTTGTTGAGATGTTCAAGTTAAAGAAATGATAATTTTGCCATCCTCAGTGTGTAACAACAGAAACAGTAAAAAGGATTTGATTGGCTTTATTTTAGCCACTACAATTCATTCAGACATGCCCACACCAGCCCCCACACAGATCCTCAGGACTGGATTTCTATTGATCTTGCATCCGCAACAGTACGATCAAAGAATGCACATGTTGACCTACATGCAACTAATAAATCCAGAAATCTCTGTCTGTTTTTTTTTTCAAAGCAAGTGCAATTTGAAATAACTGAGGAAGAAGTTTAGGGTTTAGGTCTCTGCATTTGAGAGATTTAGAGATTTTAGAGATTGAATACCAACTTTATATTAACAGAAAAACTAGTTTTTCCACTAACAGATAGAAAAATCTCTCTCTGTCAGTTTGTCCTTCGATTTCATCAATGGCTTTGATCCACTTCAAACTTGTACATCGGAGGACCTTTGTAATAGCATCGTCAAAAGTCATGCTTTTAAAATTCCAGTAACAACTAGGTTTTGACAAAACCGGCAAAAGAACTTTTATTAGTTTGTCTATTTTTCTGTATGTTAAAAATGTGTGCATGGCATTTTTACAAACTATAAACTGGTGAGTGTAATTATTTTAAAATTATTAATTATACCATATTATCATAATTATTTTTACAAACTCACACAGAAACATTCTCTAATGGTGGATGATGTCATAGTTGTGTACCCAAGAAGGCTAAAATAAAGTCAGATTTATTGGTTCTATTCAAGGGACAATAGATGGTATTTGAGATTCTTCTGACATATGTAGTTAATATTTTATGCTATACATCATCCATGAAACATAATGGAAATAAATGATGGATCTAACACTTTAATTAGTAATGTGTAATGTATTTTTATGTATTTCTACTGGGAGAGGAATCTACTGAGAGAGTTTCGTCTAGATTCAGTCTTTCAGACTATGTTTAAAAATTAAACTGATAAAAATTATCCTGTCAATTAAAACAATGACCATTGAATTCCTACTTCACTGTAGTTTCAGGGACATGCAGGTAATGTTCACTGACAACCTGAGCAATGTAACATTCAAAACTGAAAGAGCTGAAGAAAGTGAAAAAAAGAAAAACTCTTAATGATTTTTAAGAGAAGCTCTCAAGGCCAAAAATGAATACTTTCCTTTACATACTATACTTAAAATACTATATGTATATGTATACTGTCACACACAACATATGTACAGCATATACACACATATTTATATACAGCATAAAATGCTTTCATATGTGCATATGTATACATTCATATAAAGGTTTGACACACACATTCTCACACTCATATACATATCTGCACATACTAAGACGCACAGATACTCCCTCACTCACTCGATCACACACATGTGATTATGAATATATAAATTATATAAAGATACATACGTAAAGTATATGTAAACATGTATTTTCATACATTCTCACATACACATGGGAACAGTAGAAATATAACTCACATAAAAACACGTACATACTGAGATGCACATACACATTCACATTTCCCGGTACTCATACATATACGTACATACACACACAAACACATCGGGAACACAAGGTTCAGGTTGTATCACACTTGATATCAAATAGAGAAAAAGGTATTCTCAAGATTCATCATTGTCTCTTTCAGATTGAAAGAGCTGCATTCCTTCTCCCACCTGCAGGCAGATATTTCTTAGCTTTATGGATTTAGACCTGTACATAAGGTCTGCAATTCATTCATCCGTTTTTTCTTTCTAAAACAGCATGCACCACACATTTGGTATTTACTGTTAAAGAAAATATTTTTTTGATAAAGACCAGACACTTGTTGAGGCTTTTTACTGAAGCTGACTTAAACCTTGTTCTTGTTTACATATAAAGTCAAATTTTGAATTGGACAACTGAGTCATTATGAGGAAACAGCCACAGGCCCGACACTGACAGTGTGTAAGTGGCTGAAAACAGTGTAGCACCTTGATATCATACTGTGCACCATGTGAAATTTCCAGTGGTGCAGTGCACTGACTTCAGTTTCACACACTGTCAGGTTGGCAAACAGAAGGCCAAGAACATTTTCCAGCACAGAGCTACAATAGTGCAGTTTTGTTTTGTCAGTATCTGAGTCAATTCACAGAAGCTACTTTAGGACGAGATACACAAAGCGACCAACACACCAAGCACTGTCCATCAGTCAACCCGAAAAGCATATTCAATAATAATAGTTTGTTAGACCGAACTGTGAATGAAGAAAACATTCTACTGAAATAGACATTTTCAAACCCGATCTCCATCCATTCGTCCATTATCTATCCTGCGTATCCTTTGAGGGTAGCAAGGGCGGCTGGAGCCAACTGACATTGAGCGGGAGACATCAGCGACTCTGGTCAGGTCGCCAGTGAATCCCAGGACCAACATATAGAGACGAGCAACCAGTAACACACATTCACACAAATGTGAGTCTCCAATTAGCCAAAGATCACCAATCTTTGGACTGAGGGAGGAAGCTTGAGTACTCGGAGAAAACCCACACAGACACAGCAAGACCAATCTACTGTGTAATATAAATGGCAGTCAGAGTAATCTATGGCATCAGTACTCTGTTGCTTGTTAGTTAAGTACATTAACTCGGTGAAGGTGTCTGGGAGAACAGTTTACATGCATCACAGTCTCTGCAAAGGATAAACCATCAACTACACATACTTTACTGTAGCTTACCGTCAAACTTTTTATGCCTGGAGACAAACGTCGTCCTCATATTGTGGCTGCTCTCGTCCACCAAGTTCTCAAACTCCTGTTTGCTCTGTTGGTTGAGTTTGTCCTCCATCTCGGACGTGCAGCAGGTGTATCCCTGAGGACAGACACGCAGGTGCTCACCTGAGGGAAACAGACAGAGAGTTTCACACACATCACTGCCACAGGATTCAGGGGTTTTTTTTCTGAAAGGCTTAGCCAAGTCTTTGATCAAAACCACCCTCCTGTGATTTTGGGGACTCTTCATCACAGAAGTCATCAAAGAGGGACAGACCGTACCAAATGCAGGAGGCTAATATTTGTCAGAAGTCTGCTATTGTGTGAGACAGAGAGATGCTTTGATACGGCAGCACAGACACCTGATACTGAAATTTGTTATATCACAGTCCAAAGCACTGCAACAACTGCAACTAGGCCACCGTACATCAGTCTCACATTCATGCAATGGAAGGCAGTTTATAGTAGAAAGCAGCCAAAATGANAATGTGAGCAAAGAAAAACTTATTTGCGGATGTGCCAATGAACATTAGCTTTCATTTGGAGTTGTTTTTCTCTCCACCTGATGAGGTAAAGTCACATTTTCACTCTCTTTTTGTTTTGTTTTGGTCTCCACCTACTCCTGAGGAGAACATAATTAAGCAGCTTGATGCTCGACTATGCTCAAGGGCTAGCCTCTGTGTGCATCTCCTGTTTGATTAAGAGCCGGAATGATGAACCTTTTGGGGGCTGATGTCAATTTTTTATTACTGAGTAAAAGAAAAATCCAATGCCATATTTATTATAAAAAAACGAATGATCCCTGATTTGGTTATCAAACCCTCATCACTTAGAAGGTAACTGCTTCCTTTGGCACTATAATATCCTTTAGTCTGTTTACATTCCATTTCCTCTGTGAAGTTAAACTCCAGCAGCGTGAGCCCAGCTTTCAGAAACTAAGTGTCTCATTGTGATAATAATAATTTGCTGGGCCTTGGACTCTCAACTCTTTGTGAACGATGTGGCATTGAAGTCTCTATTCAAAAAAAGAAATGGGAGAAATGTTTCAGGCGAATACAAGTTTGTGTTTGGAGGCACTTTTCATCCAAGGTGAGTTGAGTGTTTTCAAAATCCCTTCGTAAGGGTCTTCTATAAAACCTAATCATTATTAACTATCTCCTACACCAACTCTGTTATTATGTCGATCCAAAGAACCCTAACCCTTCTTTTTTAAATTGTCATACACTGTAAGTTGCTTTCACATGTTGTCATGATGTCAAATTTTAGGAATAAGATATAAAGTATCATAAACATTATTTGAAATTATCACTTCAAATCTCAATATATAATTTATGAAATGAAAGTTGTTTGGCTGGGGGAGTGGTCGCTCTCACATCTGTGGATTACTCCGTGTGAGTAAATAGTGTATGCCAGACGTGAATTACCTAAAGGAATGAGGAAAACGTTTTTTTCTAGTCTACACGCACAAAGCAGAGCACTATCTGACAGAAACCAGGTTTCACACATCATGCATTTAATGCAGCCTCTATCTCAGAGCATGATGGCAGCATCAGCGGGCAGGTGCACCACAGCTGAGAGACATGAGATTAGAGGGAGCACTGATTTGAGCCAGATACATACAGATTCCTGCAGCACAACATGAGAGTGCTGAAGAACTTTGGTTGACACAACTATGTCCAAACACCAGGACAGCTTCAGGACAGGGGTGGGAAAATCTACGCAAAGATTCAAATCTAACAGAGAAACAGCTTTGAGCAATGACTTACTTGGGCTGGGTGATAAAACAATATCAATAATTCAACAGCATCAATAGCAATATCACAAAAGTTCAATATATACAACAACAACAACAATTGATCCAGCTCAGATTTGTATAAAGTTTTGCTGTTTATCTAGTGTTTGTCATTCTCTGCTCATAAAGACAAGTTTAAAACCACAACCTTCACACAGGAGCAAAAATCACTCTTTAAACTTAACAGAATTAAAAATGTGACACATTTTTTTATATAATTTTTGGTGTTTGAGAAAAAACTAAAGTCCATTCTGGGTTTTTTAAATGACCTTGCATTTACAGGTATTTCTATTTTGTCTTTGATGGCTGAATCAATAAAATAAAAACATAATACCTGCACCAAAATATCAAATGTTTTTAGTATTGCTTTTCATGTAAACTTGTTTTCTGATTCCAAAATGTTCCTTTCAGATTATAATCACAACAAAGCAACATTTGAACCCTGCAGTCCGTCTGGTTAAATGTTGGGTTTTGTAGATGTGATGTCTGTGGTCACCGATAATGGGACATTTAAAGCTTAGAAATTGCACAAATGACTAATGTACCTCCCAGAGATACGAGAGAAAAAGAAAGTAAATAATCTTACAAAATAAATCAAAGTCAGAAAAATCTTTTGCCAACATACACCCAGTGACAAACTAACATGACACGTTTTCCTTCCTGTGATGATTTGAAATTACTTTCCATTACAGAGCCCATTTTGTTGTTATCCCTGATGAAAAGCACTTCATTGTAAGATTGTGTACGAGCTCGGCAGCAGGAGCTTACGAGGAGGACTTGAGGGCTTTATCATGGATTTCCAGTCAGTGGAAAAATGAAATCCATAAACAAAAACAAACAAACAAACACTGAGACTGCTGTAAAAACATTGGAACTGCACTGCACACAAGTGTTTGTCTGCCTGCATGGAAACACCTGAGGAACCGACAGTGTTGTGGCCCAAAAAGGCAGTTATAAGAAACTATTCAAGATATAACTACCAGTCTGCAACACTTTACTGATACGTACAAACATAGCAATTTTAGAGGTGCCCCCTTTTTTTCTGTTGAGCATTAACACCGTTATCAGACATTTTAAAGTCTGGCCAGAAGTTGTGTAAAAGATTTGATTTTTCGTGACTCTTTTTCCTTTTCTTTTTCTTAGCTCTACCTATTAACATTTAAGAAAGGGGAAGATAAAATGATTCTGTACCAATGGAGGAAAGGAACACAATACAGACTCTGACTGTGGGCCCTTTTTCTTTTTGTGTTCAATGGCTCCAGCTGAAAAGTGCAGGGACTGGTGTTGTGCATGCATATACAGTAAAGCTATAGATGAAGGAGCAGTGCATGGGTAATGAAACAAAGAGGATGCAGTATGTACGTGCTGGCACTCTCAAATGTGCTTAATCCTTAATCAGTCCTTGGAGAGGCACCGAGCTACAGTAATGAGGTGCACCATCAACAGTTCAACATAAGCCCATTGTCTCCAGAGGAAGGCACAAGCCTCCTGGCCACAGAGACCCGACTCTCTCCAACAACAAAATACGCTGAAATTCAGCATCTGCTTTCTGTTTAGTGATTCTTTGAGGCTCCTTTGTTTCTCTATTTAACAACAATGTTGTATTCTCTCAGCAACGCAACGGCATTCCTCAACTGTCACACATTATTTCGGGTGCGTGCAGAAATGCAACACTGTGTGAAAACCAAACACAGTCCAGCAGAGAGAATAATATTGTGCCGAGTCTTAGGGTGAGTGGAGCATGCTGATACAGTTTCATTAGCTTAGTTCTTCATAATTTCATTTCAGGTTTCTTTTTACAGGAATCTCTCCTGTCCATTTGTTTATTTCAGCAAATGTTCCACTCACTGTTTGTGTTGTATCAGTTATGCGCACATGTGAGCTCCTATTCACCGGAACACATCATTATCCATCACATCTTGTTTTTGAAGGAGGATGTTTACATTGATTATTAAAGGTGACTTGAGGTTAGTTTCTACAGGCGTGCATTAAAACATCTCATTTCCCCAGGATTTCATACTGAAGTGTTTGAAACAACGCAATGCAAGTCAGACTATGGCACAAGGGTAAATGGTCTATTGACATTATGATGGATAACTTAAGAAAAATGACACTTTCTCACTGCATTAGGAAGTCCTGCAACTCTGGAGTATGTCAAATGGAGTGTGAAGTTCCTCTTGATGCAAAAAATTGACTGAACTTGTGTGTGAAACACAACTGCTGGTCACTAAAGGTTGGCATAAACAAAATCTATAAACAAAATAACTGTCCTTAAGTGTGAATGACAGCTGAAAGGAAAAGTCTGGTGCTTTTAGCTTCCCCAGACTATTTATATGTCAGCATTGTTTTCATATAGAAACATAATTTGACATTTCCAGCTACTTTCACCATTTATCGAAAAACAGTGACACTGCTGTTACATACAATGACATTAAAAAGGACTTTGCTTGCAGCAGGCGACTGTGTGAGCTGCATGTTTATGATGTTGTGACATTGAGTTTCTTTCTCCTTCTTTCCCTTTCACACATCTCTTTCTCCACACTGCTTTCCATGATATAGATACCAAGCTGTACGGCAGAATATTAATGGTAGTAAAGGTAAAATAAAACTAAACATTTCTGCACAAAACCTTCCTGCACATCTTCCTGCTGTGTTGATTATAAACTGAGATTCAAAAGAACCAAGTAGACATAAATGCATACTTATAGTAACTTGGGGACTAATCGCACCAAATCTAGAAGGGACTTCAGTTTACTAGACCATATCTGTTCTGTTCCACTTGGTTGCTTTGCACCCAAGATGGAATTTGAAACCAAGCTGTCAATACACTGCACGCTTGCAAGATCACAGTTGTGCTCAGACTCTCTCAAGCTGATTTCAACTTGTAAGACTCAATACCAGCAGTGCCAACACAAATGGAGACATATAGGTGGACACAGTAGAATGCCAGAGACAACAGGACTCAATTCATACTTTTCTCCAAGCAGTGATGTTATACAGCTCCAGTTAATTGCTCCTTTTACAGTTATTTCAGCATTAAAATACAGATATGTGAAGGATTTTAGTCAAATGCGCCCCCTCAAATAGTAACTCAAATGTTCATTCAAAATTATTCAATTAGGAATCAGTCAACTCCAAATGAACAAATCTGTGTTAATTAATAAAGCTTTATCATTACAGTATGCTCCCATGACCAGGGGCCTTGTTAGGCGTTGTTAGAAGGTGAATCACTGAAGAAGAAAAAATAAATAAAATAACAGAGCACTGTTTTTGTCTCCAACATTATCGATGGCTGCAGGTGAAGAGAGGCAAGTTGGGAACGGTCCCAGAATAC